TAATTAGCTCAGTAAGAATATCCTCAAACTTGCTTTGCAGTAGTGACAGTTGACTTGAAAACTGTGAAATAAGACACCAAGCTAATGCTAATTCACTATACCCTTACCAAAAAGTAGTATACTTCAAGTTTATTTTAGTAAGTATACTTAAGTAAAGTTCAAGTATATTTTGAAGTATACTTTATGTAGTAAGTATACAAATATCAGTGTACTATTAGTATACTTGTAAGTGCACTATTTCAATACTCCTTGGGACTAAATTGGCCCACTAAAGAAGTATACTAATAGCACACTTGAATAAACTTCTTTTTGGTAAGGGTAGCCAGCAGCAAGGCTATAGTTTTCAACACACATTGCGGTTCAAGTCAAACGTGAGTACGTAGCTAGAAGCTACTTTGTGTTTTGCCATGTTGCTAGTCAATTTTAAGTCAGTATTTAAATAGCACCTTTCACAATACACATTACAGAAAATCGTAATGGCAGTGTTCATAATATCTTAATATCATTAGAACTTTGTGATAAAGTTTGCGACCATTTTGCGATGATATAAACAATCAAGCAATTGTGATTTGCTATATAGAATAAATATATTGTTTTACGTGAATAATGTATTTGTGCAGATAAAACTTTACATGTAGAGCTGTGTGATAATATAGTTTACATTTTGTAAGTTTACAATTTTGTATAGTTACAACTTACAACTGTAGGTATACTACAGTACATACGTTTTTTTCATATACTTTTACAAACCGAGGGACGATTCAATTGAATTTTTCTGTGCTAATCAACAGATGTACTGTGTGTGGCGGAGCAGCTTTAAGACTGTAATCCTGTAACTTCAGAGAGGCCATGAAAACAGCATTACAGATCTACAGATTCATGTGAACAGTAAAACATTGTAGTCATGGCCTGTTTTCACTTTAGTGACCCTTATCCTCGCGATCGGTAAATGACATCATGCGCTGTCAGATGGTGGTAGTTGTGCGCGCTGACCTTGCGTGCCGGTTGGGTGAAGCTGTCAGAGTTTAGCATGTAGATGTGGTCTCGGCCTCCGACCAGCAGCCATCCGCGGTCCTCATCCAGCAGTAAGGCCTGGTACGCTCCCCCCTCTCCACCATCCCAGAACACAGCAGAGCTGTTCCTCGACCTCAGTTCTGCCAGAAAACAACAGTTAGGTTTTACTAAAATGTGACATTTTCAAACATGTTCTGAACACCCAAATGTTATGGTAACACAAGACCTGAAATAGAATATTCAATATGTCAATTAAACATAAGCTACACTCTTAAAAATAAAGGTTCCAAAAGGGTTTTTTCGCAGTGTTACTATATTAATCATTTTGGGTTCCCCAAAGAACCTTTCAGTGAACAGCTTTTTCTTAGTGTGAAAAACATTTTAATAATTTAAAGAATATTTTTCCGCTATAATGAACTTTTTGTGCAATGGAAAGATTCCATGGATTTTAAAGGTTCTTCAAGGAACCATCAATGCTAATAAAGGACCTTTATTTTTAAAAGCGTAGAAGAACCATTTTAGGTTCTCCAAAGAACCTTTCAGTGAATAGTTCTTGAAATAACCATTTTTCCCTTAGTGTGAAGAACGTTTTAATAATCTAAGAACCGTTTTCCACTATAAAGAACCTTTTGCAATGAAAAGGTTCCACGGGTGTTAAAAGTCTTTAATGGAACCACACTCATAAAAATAAAGCTTCTTTGCTGGCACTGATGGTTCCATAAAGAAACTTAAAAATCCACATAACTTTTCCATTCCACAAAAGATTCTTTATACACTCTTAAAAAATAAAGCTTATTTATTGACATCCATGGTTCCATGAATAACCTTTAACCTTCATCTAACCTTTCAAGGTTCTTTATAGTGGAAAAAGGTTATTTTAGAACTTCCTGGTGAACAATTCTTAAAAGAACCATTTTTGTTAGTGTGAAGAACATTTTCAATAACCTCAAGACCCTTTTTTTTCCACTATAAAGAACCTTTTGTGTAATGGATGTTAAAGGTTCTTCATTGAACCATCGATGGCAATAAAGATCCTTTATTTTTAAGAATGTGTTCTACTGCATAGACCTATTTTGAAAGGATTGTGTTGCAGTTTGAAGCTTGTTAGATCAAGGTCATTGCCAGGTGGTTCTGATCTTTGATAGATTTGGAAAATAAATATGTCAATCATACGCTGAAGTGGTTTCGGCATGCTCTCATTCCAGATTACAAATATCTGCGTTCCCCTACAACGGCATTCGCACACAATTAAACATGATGCATTTCTCATATAAACACATTCAGACACATCCACATCTCCACAAACCCCCCTCGCTGGTGCTTAAACAGGCAAAACCAACTCTCCTAATTAAGGCCAATTAACCCTCAACACGCTCTTTGACAGCTGCACTCCTGCCACCCACAATTCCAGTGGGACGAGGGCCCCACATATTCAGCATAAGTGTGCATGATTACAAGCCGACAAGCGGTTTGACTAGCAGAACGTCCAGCTCATGGAGGTGTCAGGCATGTTGTGGTGAGGGGAGGATTGCGGTAATAAACTTTGACAGGTGTTTTCTTAGCCGCACTCTCTGCCTTGATATCGATGAAAGGGAGTCGAGATGTTGCACAGGAAATAGCTCAAGGTCTAGAGACGGCATTCTTGGCTTCATGGTCTCTCTGGCTGGGTCATGTCAAGGTGAAGGTTAAATGATGCATCTGGATGTTACTTTCTGTTCTTCTTCTTAAACATGGCATTAAGTAATAGTATGTTACAAAGTTTGCATATTTTTACATTTATCTCCAGCAACATTTGGTTTTTATAGAAGCCGGTTTCTGCCACTGAATAAAAAATAAAAAAAAGGTAATTACGACTTTTTTTTTTAAGTAAAATTACGATTACGAATTTTTTCTTAGAATTGCGTAATACAAACTCGCAATTCTGAATTTTTCTCAGAGCTGCATGATATAAAGTGGCAACTGCGAGTTATAAAGTCAAAATTGCAAGATATAAACTCGCAATTCTGATTTTTTCTCAGAGCTGCATGATATAAAGTCACAACTGCGAGTTATGAAGTCAAAATTGCAAGATATAAACTCGCAATTCTGACTTTTTTCTCAGAGCTGCATGATATAAAGTCGCAACTGCGAGTTATGAAGTCAAAATTGCAAGATATAAACTCGCAATTCTGAATTTTTCTCAGAGCTGCATGATATAAAGTCGCAACTGCGAGTTATAAAGTCAAAATTGCAAGATATAAACTCGCAATTCTGAATTTTTCTCAGAGCTGCATGATATAAAGTCACAACTGCGAGTGATGAAGTCAAAATTGCAAGATATAAACTCGCAATTCTGAATTTTTCTCAGAGCTGCATGATATAAAGTCACAACTGCGAGTGATGAAGTCAAAATTGCAAGATATAAACTCGCAATTCTGACTTTTTCTCAGAATCTAGTTTAAATCTCCCAATTCTGAGTTTTTTATATCATATCATTTTATATAATTCTGAGAATTTATATCATGCAATACTGACTTTATAACTCACAACTGTAAGTTTATATCACGCAATTCTAAGAAAAAAATAAATTTCTTATAGAATTGCATGATATAAACTCTAATTATATATTAATTATTTAATTTAATTTATTTGTTTGTTTGTTTGTAACTTAACCCAGCCTTTGTCTTGGCTTTAATTTCCAATTATAAATTAGATTTAATAAACTAAGTGCCATTTTGCAACATGCATGAATTCTCTATGAATTATAAAATAAACAAATGCTTCAAAAATGTTGACAATTATTTTAGTATTCTTGTTATATTAATTTCACATTGCCTTATATCCCAGCTAACAAAAATAAGCTCTGAGAAGAATGTTTTGCTAATGTTACCATTAAGTTATAAACATTTTTTTACGTGTTAACTTACACCAAGTTAACATCCAACTTAAACGTTTTAGAAAAAATTTTTTTTTCCATGAGCGATGTAAATTAGTAATATTTTTTGCTAACATTTTGAAACATTATTAAAGATCAGATAACTTTGAACAAGCCTTCTTTAGCGTTTCTGGAAGAACGTTTGTTCATAACCTTTATTATAACTATGCTTATAAACAATATACTCAGAGACAGCAAAGTTTGTGTGTTATGAAGAGGCCATATTAACTTTATGACAAGCGTTTGCATTGCAAACCGTGTGAAACATGAAGCCCATTTATGTGAAAAACATGTTTCTACACTGCCATTAAAACAGAAAAAATATCCAGGATTGTGGTCCACTAAAATACATAGAGTTAATTACAGAATAACTTGTATAATCAAAATGAATGCAATTAGGATCTGTGATTAATGCAAGCCAAATGTCTTCCTGGATTATATTTCTCTTCCTGCTGCAGTTTTCATCCTCCATTAAAGCTGCACATTGCATGACTCACCATTAAAGGAATTCTTAGATGACAGAAGGAGATTTCTCACTGACAACAAAAATAAATCTCATAATTGGGGCATGTTGATGCTATCCATCATGAAAGCCATTTAGCACAGAGGCCAACATACAAGTCACAGCACCTGCTGGAATCCTTTCCAGCACAGCTTCCAGCGCCACGTTATAATGTTTCCGGAAGGCAGCGGCTCTTCGTCAGCTCTGGAGAATTTGGCATCATTTCATATTGAGAGTTCAAACACAGGCGACCCATACTTTTACTTAATTTTTGATTTTTAAAAAAAAATTCTGATAAATTTCAGTGTTCAACTCCACTTTTTCTAAGTTTGTATTACTTTTTGAAACTTGGATCATTGAATATTACATATTAACTATAAAAAAATCTTTCTTTCTTTCTTTCTGTCTTTCTTTCTTTCTTTCTGTCATGATCTCCAGCTGGAGTGCCCATGACCTCCTCTAGAGGGCACTCCATTCTGTACCTTGCCATTCACTCAGGACTCCATTTCCCATAATCCTTTGCCCGGACTCATCAAGTGCATCACCTGTCTCTCATCAGATCTCATCATCAGTTCACAGCTGTCTCACATTAGTAGGACTATAAGAATAGCACACACACTCTCTGTCATTGCTGGTGATTGAATGTTGTATAGCTCTTCCGTGGTTTCTAAGTTTCCGTGTTTCTAGTTTCTCTGTTTCCTTGCCTTCGTGTTTTGATCCCTGGACTGTTTTCTTGTTTATGATTGTTTTGCTGCCTGCCCTGACCATTGCCTGATTATCTGGATTACTCTTTTGCCTTGCCACTGCCATCGTTGTTTGCTGTTGTTGACCACGCCTGTTTGACTACGCTCTTATTAAAGCCTTGCATTTGGATCCCCACTTTGTCGTCACGCCTCCCTCGTTACAATAATTATTCATTCTGTTTTTGCTAATTATTAAGTGAAAATGTTATGTTTAAGTCATTATTTGTTCATGTAGAGATGAATGTAAAAAATTAAAAGGTGTATGTGTTTCTAACCAAATCAAAGGTGAACACGCTGAGCATGCATAATATTTTTATTAGGCTGCCTGTTGGGGTTGGTTAAAGGGGTCATAAACTGAGAAAACAAAATTCCCTTGATGTTTTGATATATGAGTTCATTGTGATATAAAAACATCCTCAAAGCTTTGTTGTTAGTCTAAATACAGCTTATATTGAAGCCAGTCTGTCAAAACGACAGCTTGTGGAATGTTCCACTCTATGATGTAATAGTGTGGATAAGCACCGCCTCCGCAGAAGAAGATCAACGCCTGCTTCTACATCGCTGCCTGTTTAGCCCCGCCCATCTATTCTTGCACATAGTAGGTAAATGACAAGAGCGGCAAATTTAAAGCTTATTTGATTAACTTTGTTTTCAATGACGTTCCAGAACGCGTCAGTGAGAACTTGGTCCATTGTTCATTTCATATTACCGCGGATTCATTTACAAACAAGGCACAATTAAACTGAGTATTTTCAGAAAGATTGAAACTAAAAGACGATGATGTGCCGGCTAGATTGGATCCGACAGTAATGTCGCAACACACAAGTGGGAGTAAGTGTGAATTTTTATTACGTGATTACTATTGCTTTGTCTGTTATTATAGATTGTTTGTTGTGTACTATTTATGCATCCATCTGTGAAGGCTCTATGCTGTCAAACATACACAACTATTAGCCAATCACAGCAGTGGGCGTTTACTTCTGTGTCTACAATCCGCCACCACGCCTATTCAAACAGAGCGTTCTGATGAGGGGGGTCAAAACAGGACAGAATACAGCCTATTACTCCTAAATTATGATGTTTTTTAATGTAAAAATATTGATAAAAATATAAGTGGACTTCAGAGAACAGTACAAAATTTAAAAAAAAAGGCAGTTCATGACCCCTTTAAGGGGGGAGAGGGTGGGGGGTTGCTCGGTGTGCTGATCACTCTTTAAAGGATGTAAGGAAATATGAAAGTGCTCACCATTTACTTACAATACAGAAGGATCTTTGTGCATTGACAACGTCAGAAAGAAATTATGGCTTTTTAATAACCAAGCTTGAGTCATTCTTATCACCATTTGTGGGTCTGTGTTATTAAAGGCAGGCGATTGTAACCAAGCTCTTGATCATCATGCATGAAGTTCTCATTGCAGCATTATGAGAAGGTTATCCAAACATGTTTATGCAAAATATTTGTTATTTAAACGTTCTGTTCATACATTATATTTATTACTGTAATATGTATTTGTAGTTTTATTATATTACAATACATTATTATATTGTCAAATATACTTTCTATTAAATTATAACAATATTGTTGTAATTTATTTATTACACATACAATTTGTGCTTAATATGCAAAATGATAAAATCACTGCTCAGAGAAACCATATTCGATTTATACATAATCTGTAAGAGTGCAGAGAGTACCTGTAAATTCTCCAGGTTATTTACAAATCATTAAAAACTCAACGGTACGTTTTGCAGCAATACCACAGACCACAGAAATACATTGTTTTTGAATGAAGATCTTTGGAATAAGCTGCTAGAAGCTGTTAATACTTGTGCTAACACTTGTGGTTGGTTACTGACTACATTTATACATTTACAAATATATAAAAGCTCATATAATATAGCACATACTGCAGAGATATCAAAATAACTATTACTGCATATTTGAAACTTGAAATGTTGGCCACATTTTTAATGCAGCAGACTTCTTCTAAATATTCTGAAAAGAAAATCATTATAAAGAGAGAACTTAATGTGGCTTAATGTAATAAAGACAGTGGCACCGAAAGGCCAAAATATGTTTGCACCTTATTCAGAACAAGCACTATATAAACAAGCTAATGAGCGAGCGCGCAAACGTCACTTTTCTCCCTCACAGGAAATGTTGAACAGAAACACTTACCGCAATTTTCAGAATCAACTCAATAACGTTGAGGTAGGAAGTGTGTGCATTTATACTTAGCCATCTATCATGAAAACAATCCTCAAGTGAACACAGAAATTGTACAACATTTTAACTTATTCTGAAAGTTTGCTCTAGCACTGATAACAGCAGGCAGAAATTTTTGCAAGAGATGAGTCAAAAAATTTATGATAATCAACATTATGCCACAAATGCTGTTGATTAAGTGAAAACACGTATTGAACACAGCATAAAGATCTAATGTATAAAAGGCTTACCTCTGGATTTTCAGTCACAGACATGTTTAAGCTCTCATTTTCAATCACTGAGTGCTGGCTCTGATCTAAGACAGAGATAAGAGCTTTTTTAGTTTAGGTTGAAAACAGACATCAAGCATGATGTTGTATTGGAGATTTACTGAAGTACCTCCACTAACCGCAGCAGCACCTTCAGTCAGACTTAGTCTGTCCACCTGCTCCTCCATTATGTCAACTGTCAAAAAGAGCAACGGCAAACAAACACATTTTTTAAGACATCATTTATTTGTATATTACAATATGCATGCTTTCTCTTTCCTTTGTGAATAATGTTAAAGGAGTAATTTCCGGATTGTTTCACTAGCCAATATGCCAGTGGTTCGAGTCTTTATACTGACACCTGTATCTGTTTATACAGATAAAGTGAATCACACACACATCTTTTTTTTTTTCATTCCAGCTGTACAGCATGACATAAGCTACAGTACAGTATAATATGAACTTATTTTACAACTTATTAACAATACAACTTCTGATTTTATGAACTGGTCATTGTTTTACATGGAGATTCTTATCAAATTACTTCCTGCAAAGCATGCGAAATAAACTCACCCGATGTACGTGATGTCAGCAATGAGGGCTTTATGAAAGAGAGAAAGATTATCACAGGGTTTCCACAAAAATATTAGCCAGCACAACTGTTTTTAACATTGATAATTATAATAAATGTTTCTTGAGCAGCAAATCAGCATATTAGAACGATTTCTGAAGGATCATGTGACTCTGAAGACTGGAGAAATTATGCTGGAAATTCAGCTTTGCATCACAGGAATAAATGACATTTTACAAGATATTCCAAGAGAATAACAGTTATTTTAAATCGTAATAATATTTCACAATATTACTGTTTTACTGTACTTTTGATCAAATAAATGTGTAGATAAATAGTTAAATAAAAATCTGAAAATCTCCAGCTCTTAAAACTCATTCATGCATTAACATGGAAATGAGCATTGTGTTCCACAGAAGAAATATGACATGGTGAAGAGTAAAGCATCCACAAAAGTTATACCGGAGCAGGTGAGTACAACGCAGGAGTAATATCCCCGATCTCCTGAGCAATAACCATTCCACCTGCTGCAATAAGACAGAAAACAAAATGCATATATCTGTAGAAATACGAATTAATGTTTATTTCTATGGTTTAACACTTCACACTGTAGCTTATGCATAAAATCCATTTACCTCCTCGCAGTTTTGATTTATAGCTTATTTTAAATATACCAGAGGCAAATTAACATCACATCAGGAAATAATAAAACAGCCACTCACTCTCACAGCTCTCCGTTTTGTATTGAATGATTCTTTTTTCTAAACTGGGATTGATATCTGCTATAATTTTCTGCAGAACGTCCAAATTATTTTCAACCAAAAGGTCCTCCTTCTCCATCTCCAAAAACAACTGCAACAGCGTCTAAAAGACATGATTGTTTATATGTAAGTTAGTTTAGTCAATCATCACACTCTGGTCACATGCAGAGATGTGGTGTCAGAGCACCGAGGCCGTGTCCGTGTCTCTCACCGTGTCCTTCTCCAGTTTTTTGCGCGGTAGTGTTTTTAACAGGAGGAATTTGATGTTTTTCAGGTCCTGCTCACAGATGGACTCTGACAGCTCATACAACAACTGTCTGAAATACATAAAAACAAATACTGATGATTATTACATAGCAAATATAAAGACTTTTTGAGCGTCCTTGTAAAATACAGCCGCCCCATACAAATGCTACTGCATTAAAAACAAAAACGGAGTGTCTATTTACACTAAGTGCCTGTGTTGGCAGAGGCTATTTACCCTAACTCCGCCCACCAACATGTGATTGGGGTAGTCAACAATACAAAAGACGATTGTCGAACATCAGCTCCATTGGCGTAGGTGGTAAATCATGTACTGCAGTCTTTTTGACAAGACCCGAGTTCAAATCCGCCTTTTGCCGAACTTTTTTTCCTCCCTTTTGAAATCTCATATCACGAAATAAATGCCGAAAAGGCATTTATTTTCAATGAAAATGACGGAAATAATCAAAAAGTTAAAAATAAAGTATCAGGTAGGGTTAGGGTAGGTGTAGGGAGGGTTTTATTGTCCCAATAAGGTGGCATCCATTTAATAATTTGAATTAAAATGATAATTTACACTCAATATGTTATTATTGCGTACTGTTTTATAATGTACTACAATACTGAGGTGCAGATAATTGACACTATTTGCAATAAGTAGTATAAATAGCAGAAAATCCTGCTATTTTAACAGTGTAAAGAGAATCCATTGCTACTTGACCTTAGTGTAAATCTAATCTATCGCTAAGAAAATATGCTGTTTTTATAGCCACTGCCAAAAAAACATTCCTTGGTAGTAGATATTTTCTTAGTCAGCTTTCTGGCCTTTGACCTGATCAAACACGTCTCTATTACTAGCAGCTGCATCCTCACCTGTATGGGGAGATTTGTTGACTATATGTTGTGCCGTTGGTTGGCATAACATCCTCTGAGGTCAGACTGCGGATCAGGCTGTTCCGTTTCAGGATCCTGAGCAGCTCTAAAAGCAGAGACGGATCCTCCCATGACAGCAGGTCCCTGTTCTCCAGAAGACTGAACAGCTGTCCGGCTGAGGTCACGGTGCTGAGGTCTTTCAGACTCAGCAGATCAGAGCAGAGGAACACCAGGTCCTGCACCTCCTCGACAGTGAGAGACGCCTGCACTTTTAACAGCACCCGCTGAAACTCCAAAACTGTCTGCATCTATAACACATGCATAACACTGCTGCAATGAAATTCAGATTTATTTTACATACTATTTACTACATTTAAATTTACCACATGCAACCTAGTAGTGAATACAGATAACGATGATCTGTGATGTGCAATCCAGTTTTTGACCCACAATGCCATATCACAAGAGATACATTGAAAACAAACTTTTTTGGTTTTATTTTTGCACTGACATGTAGAGAATATAAGTATATTAGATTGTTTTTCTTTAATGTATACTTTAAAACAGTATATAATGCAGCATTTAGTTTTGTTTTTTTACAGATTATTGACCCTTTGTAGTAAAAAGTTTGAGCAACTCTGGTCTGGGTTATTCAATCTCAAATGGTCCAAAAATTGTAGAGTTGGTTGTGTGACCAATTTTTTTAATTTTTGTATTATTACCTAGTATTATTGTATGTTGTATTATTACCTAGTATTGCAAAACCACTAGTCCTTTTTTATTTTACTTGTTTGTTTTTTTTTGTCATGCCCCACAACAAATTTTGGGTTATACAGACATTTACGGAAACCTCGATATGTCAGCTCAGCATCCTTCTAGCTCCTTAAAACTAGAAACATTCTATGTACATATATAAACATTTTGTACATTCTTTTTGGCTAGACTTGGAACTTAAGTCTAAATGTAGCTAATGGCCAATATTGCTCAGGGTTCCACTTTTAAGGTCAGAGGTCACCGAGGTAAGTATTGTGTACACTCAGGACATTTCAGGTTTGAGACTTCTCTTACCTGCCTATAAGTTACATCATAGCGTGATTAGATAAACAGACTGATGAATGAAATTAAATGTCCAAAAGAACGAGTTTGCAGAAAAGAATCAGACTTCCCTGTTGCCTGACGCTCTGGATTACAGGTAACAATATTATAAATAATGGTCAATTTCTTTCTCAGATCAAATGTTCCACATCATAAGACCTAAATATGTTGTCAGGAGCAATGCATGGGTATTAATTTTGTAATCCTTGATATGCTTTTTCAAAACCGGAAGCTCTTAACTTACGTTTTATGAATCACCAAGGACCACGGTTTCAGTTAAAAATCTTTATTGTTCTACTCAAGAAAAAAAATCACCAACATCATGGGTGACTAATGAAACTGGGCCTCACCCACATTGACGTCATGCACAAAAGTTTTATTAGGGCTGGGGTTTCATTATATGGCAAGTAGAGACTGATTTAGGCAGTTTAACCATGTTTTCAATACTTTTTCTTTATTATGCCTATTCTCCGTTCAAATTTCTAGATTTCTGATATGCACAAAGCATAATAATATTAATGACTTTCATTGTAACATTTTTTTTAAATATTTTTTTTGTGTTTTTATACAGTACAATACTGCCAAACTAATCAAATTAGAGCATAAATGCAATAATATTATAACTGATTGGGAAACATAACAGCAAAATCAAATCAAATGCAGTGTTGTCTGACCCCAAAAAGACAATACAACACCATGGCAGTCTACACAATACACCTGAAAACAAAATACAAACTCAGCAGATACAACCTTGCCACAGAACCAGCAGACACAGGAAAATATGTCTGTCGCAGGAAGAAAGGTCTCCACTGAAAATGTATACAAAAACAGCCCTTCTTATCATGTAAGCACAAGATTTTTAATTGTAGTATTTTAATTTTTCTTTTAGGTGTAACTTCTTCCTTATTTATTGGTATATATATATATTTTGTCAATTTTTTTGTTCTGTACATTTTCTATATCTTTCTCATATTTCGAATTATGTACATTGCTTAGCACTGTTATTGTCATGCTCTGTTCTACAGGTATCTGTATGCTGCTCATCTGTAAAGCCTTGGCAATATAAATAAATATTTCTTTATATATTTTTACAAACGTATATATTTGTCAAACGTGCTATGTAGAACCATGATAGCAACCCCATTTTCCTCCTATGTTACTCCACTCTCTTGTTTGCTCTGAATGGGACCTCACAATGGCAAAAGCTGTTTTGAATCACTTTTATGATTTTCTGAGCTCAAAAAGTCTTGTGTGGGGACCTTGGAATATTTCCTTGTGCGGGACAAGATGGCTGCCAACCCAGAGACTCTCCACGAAATTGCTGCCTACCCAGAGTCAAGTCAAGTCACAGCTGATCGTCCAGAGCCTCATCACGTCTCAGCTGATCGTCCAGAGCCTCGTCACGTCTCGGCTGATCGTCCAGAGCCTCGTCACGTCTCGGCTGGTCTTCCAGAGCCTCGTCACGTCTCGGCTGGTCTTCCAGAGCCTCGTCACGTCTCGGCTGATCTTCCAGAGCCTCGTCACGTCTCAGCTGATCTTCCAGAGCCTCGTCACGTCTCGGCTGATCTTCCAGAGCCTCGTCACGTCTCGGCTGATCTTCCAGAGCCTCGTCACGTCTCGGCTGATCTTCCAGAGCCTCGTCACGTCTCGGCTGGTCTTCCAGAGCATCGTCACGTCTCGGCTGGTCTTCCAGAGCATCGTCACGTATCAGCTGATCTTCCAGAGAATCGTCACATCTCGGCTGATCTTCCAAAAGCTTGTCATGTCAAGCCTGCTCACGTCAAGCCTGCCAAGTCAAAGCCTGCTCACGACAAGCCTGCCACGCTAAAGTCTGCTCACATCAAGTCTGCCAAGTCAGAACCTGCTCATGTCAAGCAACAGTCTTCAGCCATCATGGATGTTACTCCAGTGTTCCAGAGCATTGTGAATGTTGCATTTGAAGACACTAAGTCAGTCCCAAGGCATTCGAGAGTGGCGGACCCTCAGCTGATGTCAGTGCAAGCTGCTGGCATTCCAGGGGTCTCTACGCTCACGAACTACGCAGAATCTACGCTTACGTGTAACACAGTTTCTCAATATTCTCAAACCTGCCGGCCGCCACTCACCCCAGTTCCCCAGGCACAGCACCGTCAGTCTTGGAAATAGACAATGTACTCTCTGTCCTGCCAGTTATGGCTATGGCCATTCTCTGTGTTTGGGCCGCACACACCACTGTAGTTTCCCCCGAGGTGACAGCCTTCGCTGTAGAACCTCTCAAGGTGGTGGCGCCCACTTTACTCCCCGAATCTGATCCCAAGTCTAGCCCAAAGGAGGCTCCTGATCCCAATTTTAGCCCAGAGAAGGCTTCTCTTCCCGAGCCTAGCCCAGAGAAGGCTTCTGATCCCAAGTCTAGCCCAGAGAGTGCTTCTGTTCCCGAGTTTAGCCCAGAGAGCGCTTATGTTCCCGAGTCAAGCTCAGTGTTCGCTCCAGCCCCTGACCTTAGTCTAGTGAGGCCTTCAGCCCCTGAGCACAGTACAAAGATGACTTTAGTCCCCGAGTTTGCCCCAGAGTTCACTCCAGTCCTTGAATCTGTCCCAGAGTTCACTCCTGTTCCCTCCGAGGTGGCAACGTCCGTTGCAGAACCTCCTCTGATAAAAGCAGGACTCTTTCCCGAGCTCACGGTGTTCCCTGTCACCTCTGTCTCTACCACAGACACTATTGTCAAACTCTCCCTGTTACCTGATGCCTCTGTTACGGCCGCAAGTGCCATCTCTGAACTATCTGTGTCTGTTGAAGCTCCTCTTCTTATTGCTGCAGAACCTCCAGAGGTGGCAGCATCCGCTGCAGAACCTCCAGAGTTGGCGGGGGTGTTCGCTTCAGCTCCTCTTAAGACAGGGGTGCCCACTTATGAACTCTTTGTCTGTACTGACGAGGTCATGGAGACCATCAGTGAATCCCCTTTTATACCAGTCTCGGCCCTAGAAGCCAATCATGAATTCTCAGCCCTGCCTATTACGGTTGCTAAGACTGCTTCTGAATTCACAATCCCGCTCAAAGAGGCCTCTCCCTGAACTCTCTGTTTGCCCTGTCATAACCAAGAAGGTCGTCTGTGAACTCTCTGCCTGTGCTGTCACAGCTATGGAGGCCATCTGTGAACTCTCTGCCTGTCCTGTCACAGCTATGGAGGCCGTCTGTGAACTCTCTGCCTGTCCTGTCATGGCTATAGAGGCCATCTGTAAACTCTCTGCCTGTCCTATTATGGCTAAGAAGGCTGTTTCTGAACCCTCAGTCTGTCCTATCACGGCTATGGAGGCCGTCTGTGAACTTTCTGTCTGTCCTGTCACGGTTATGGAGGCCGTCTGTGAATTCTCTGCCTATCATGTAACGGCTAAGAAGGCCGTTTCTGAACTCTTAGTCTGTCCTGTTCCGACCAAGGAGGTCGTTTCTGAAATCTCTGACATTCCAGCCACGGTCAAAAAGGCTGCCCCTGAAATCTCTGCTCACCCTGTTATGGCTAAAGACGCCATTTCTGAACTGTCTGCCAGTCTTGTTACGGCCGCTGAGGCCATTGTTAACCTCTCTGTGCTCTATGTTCCAGTTCTGCCTGATCCGCCTTGGTGGTATTCTGCACCATCAGCTCCGCCCTGGTGGTCTTCTGCTCTGCCTGCTCAGCCATGGTGGTCCTTAGCTCTGCTCTGGTGGTCTTCAGCTCTGCCCTGGCTCCCTGCTCTGTCGGCTACAACCTGGCTCACTGCAATGCCCTGGCACTCTGCTCTGCCGGCTCTGCCCTGGCTCTCTGTTCCACTGGTTCTGCCTTGGCTTACTGCTCCGCCCTGGCTCCCTGCTCCGCCGGCTTCGCCCTGGCTCTCTGCTCCGATGACTCCGCCTTGGCCCTCTGCTCTGCCAGTTCCACCTTGGCTCTCCGCTCCGCCGGCTCTGTCTCAGTCCCCTGTTCCTCTCCTTCCTCATGGACCTGGCCCTCCATCCCTCCCCTAGTAGGACTATAAGAATAGCACACACACTCTCTGTCATCTCTGGTGATTGAATGTTGTATAGCTCTTCCGTGGTTTCTAAGTTTCCGTGTTTCTAGTTTCTCTGTTTCCTTGCCTTCGTGTTTTGATCCCTGGACTGTTTTCTTGTTTATGATTGTTTTGCTGCCTGCCCTGACCATTGCCTGATTATCTGGATTACTCTTTTGCCTTGCCACTGCCATCGTTGTTTGCTGTTGTTGACCACGCCTGTTTGACTACGCTCTTATTAAAGCCTTGCATTTGGATCCCCACTTTGACGTCACGCCTCCCTCGTTACACTTTCTTTCTTTCTTTCTTTCTTTCTTTCTTTTATTTATTTATTTATTTATTTGTTCGTTATTCAATGTATTTAGAGATGATTCCTTAGGAATTGTTGTTCATTCGTTCATTCATTTATCATTTTAGAATTTGGTCTTTAATTCATTCTTTCTTTCTTTCTTTCTTTATACTTATTTTATATTTATTTGTAAAAAAGGAAATATATCTTTCTTTCCTTCCTTCTCCCTTTTTCAGTTCATTT